TTCTGATGGTGCTGGAGTGAGAACTTTGGGATCAATCCTCTCAGATCAACCTTAATTTTATTAAAAAAATAAAGTTCTTGGGTTTATGGTGCTTACTAGTGGAGTCTGAATTGGAAATGCATTCAGAGGTAAATATGATTGCAACTTGGTGGTGTAAATTGTGTCTGTATGCTGCTAATAGGTCACAGCTAAAGGGAGCTGAGAGAACACATGATCTGGTAACCAAGCCCTGCTGAGTCAGCTACGTGCAGCCCAACTTCTGATGGTGCTGGAGTGAGAACTTTAGGTTCAAGAAAAAAATCAATCCTCTCAGATTAACCTTAATCAAAAAAATAAAGTTCTTGGGTTTATGGTGCTTACTAGTGGAGTCTGAATTGGAAATGCATTCAGAGGTAAACATGATTGCAACTTGATGGTGTAAATTGTGTCTGTATGCTGCTAATAGGTCAAAGTGTTTGGAATTTGGTAAAATTCACAGTTGGTGATGGCTTAAGAGGGGAGTCCTAAACAGGACATCAGGAGGCCATGAATTCACTTCAGGTTTTCTGTGAATTGTGTGTTTCACAGCTTTAAGAGTTAGTAAAAAGTCAAATATGTTGTTCTGGAGCTAGACATGTTTAGTCCTCTCAGACTGAGAGGATGATTAAATCTGCAGCAGCAAACATGCAACAGCAGAGTTTGGAACCATGCAAGAAATCAGCTTCCTGGTGGTGGTGTTTTCCAGAGAGAACATAGAACCATTAAGATTGGAAAAGATGTCCAAGATCATCAAGTCCAACCATCAACCCAACACTACCATGGTCAGCAAACCATTTCCTAAAGTACCATGTCTATGCAGTTTTTGAACCCCTTCAGGGATGTTGACTCCAGCACCACCCTGGGCCAAGGCCTCACCACTTTAAGCCTCATTTCAGCAAATCATGCCAGTCTAATATTGCTGAATCTGCTAGACCTCATTTTTCTCCTGTTGCAGATTGGAGTTCAGGAGTTCTGGTTTTGACAATTTCAAAGTAGTCATAAAAGTGCTTTAAAGTCTCCTTTTCTGGCAGGCTGTGAAGGAATTGCAGCTTGGGTCTGTTGTGAGTTTGAGCTGCAGATGTCCTCTGCATCTGAAATGTCAGTGTTTGGTCCCTGCTTATGGCTGACTAAGGTAGAGGGTGTCATCTTGTAATGGAATTTCTGGATGTTTTGTCAAGGCTTCCTTTAAAAACATGCAAAAATAGGAACTCCATCAAATAATATGCAGCCAAGTTAGTGTTCCAGTAGTTTGATCTGTTCCATACATGCTGTTCAGCAGTCGCCCAGATGACAGCAGGGCCTCAAGATGCAGGATAAGCAGTGTGGAAAGGAGAAAACATTCAGAAAGTTGTCCCCAGTTGAAATATGGAACTGGGTCTAGTGTAACTGGCTACTGCTCCTCTTTCTGTCTTTGAAGAGTTTTGGGCATAAGGTTGGAGTTAAGGTTGAGATGGCACTTCTGACTCTGGCTAGTCAAGTCTTTGGACGTGAGGAACCTGATTTTTCACTCGTGGTTGTCAACACTTTGGTGTTTACAGAAGTGTGCATAAAATCTGTCTGGATGCCTTTTACTGAAGTAAAAAAGCCCCACACCCTTAAGAGCTCTTTAGGGGTACAGTTTTGTAAAATGCCATTCTTGTTAGTTTGAAGGAATGAATAGTTGTGGAATTTTCAACAAATGATGTTTTGTTTTGTGAGTGGAAAAAATGTGTAGTTGCAACAGCTGCTTGTTGTCAGCCTGGAAAATAAATTCCTTCAGGTGGAGAAGGCTCAGTGCATTGAAATGCAAAGATCTACAACTTACTGGGGATTTCTCTCTTTGCAGATATATTATAAAATGTCCAATGGTTATGAAGATCACATGGCTGAAGATTGCAGGGATGATATTGGTAGGACAAATTTAATTGTGAACTACCTCCCTCAGAACATGACACAGGATGAGCTCCGGAGCCTCTTCAGCAGCATTGGCGAAGTCGAATCTGCAAAACTCATTCGGGACAAAGTTGCAGGTACAGTCCAGTGCACCAGGAACTTTTACTCTGTGTAGACTGCTCAAGAAAACACTTAATTGAATCCAAGTTAATGTAGAAATGTTTGTGTGTAATCAGTCTCCTGACATATATGCATAGAACTACAGTAATGCAAAGACTAGGTATTGAGTATTAGGAAAATAGAATACTTAAGGTTGAATTAATGACTATTTTATATATGGTTAAGAATTCTCAGTACTGTTCCTAAGTTTGAACACCACTAGACATGTCTAAAACTAGCTTTGCTATGGTCCCCAGCTTATTTATTCTTCCTACAGACTGAACAGTTTTGACTCTACCTGAGCTCTGAATATCCAAACAAGCCTTTTGATCTGTTTTTAATCAGTGAAATAAAGCTGTGGCATGTGTCTGAAACTGTGGATCTCATCACTCTCCTGGAATGTAACTTCTAAATTCTTTAAATAGAATTGTTAGTAGTAGCTTTAAAAAATGAGAGGAATGAATTGTTCACATTTGTAAAGACTTTGTTTCCTTGAAAACAAAAACTTGCTGGTGGAGCAATTTGTTCCATAAGCCATATCTTATTTAGTTGCAGAAGCTTTTTATCTGCTTTGTGAAGATGTTTTTATTCTTGCACGGTTAAAAATCTTCATTTACAAATTCTGGTTGTTATTGTTGAGAATTCACAGCATCTTGGTTTTAGTGGGAGCAGGTGGTTGTTCTGTAAACAGAAGTGCCTGTGCTGTTAACTAGCTGTGTGTGCTCCTTTGTTCTCAGCCTGCAGGTGATTGCCCTGTGGAACTTTCTGCTGCATGTGTTCACTCTTGTATTTCAGGATCCATCAATACTGATAAAATCATTATCAATCCATAAGGAGCAAGTCTGAAACTACTTCAGTGCCTGCAAAAAACTGCCTGAAGGCTGATGAAACATATCTAGTACTTTATTTTATATGCTTGAGAATAAACATGAGAATTGAGTAATTAAAAATTTCAGTATTTACTTTCAGAGTGGCTTCTCCAATTTCTGTGTCTTTAGTTTTCCTGATTTTTTTCCAGGTGGAGTTTCATGTGATAGCTGTCTGAATCTGTACTTGTTTCAGGAAGATTTTACGTATACATTCTGTAGTTACATAAAATACTGATTTCTTGGAATATTGTGATGGCTGAATACTGAGCTTCCATGTTGCTGCACAGTTTGAGATGCTCAGAAGTAGAGGTTTGCTCTGGAGGCTACTTCTGCAAAGGAATCAGACCACTTGTTTAACAATAGCAAGCCATTCATGGCTGATCCCCATCTTAGACTGACAAAATCGCCTGGGTGGGAGGTAAGGGTGTTTTAAATGGGAAGCAAGATGTGGCAGTATCTGAAGTTTGAGAGTCTACTTCCCACTGTTGGCTGTAGCACTGAATACTCTGGTAAAGTCTGGTTAACTTGAACTCAGAAATGGTCAGTGCTGACTGGTTTGGAGTCCAACACGCATGCTGATGTGCTTCAGATTTTTCATAACAATCCTATGAACAATCCCAAGTAAAATTTTTGTTGGTATTGCCTAGAAGAGCCCTTGAGTGCCTGTGGACAGAACATTCACTTTTCCTTAAAGTGATTGCAAGTGTTTAATCCTGCATGGCTACACTGGTTACACCACTTAATTTTCTTCCTACTTAATTTTCTGTTCTCTTGCAGCACTGTTGGGAGTAATTGTTGGTCTCCTCTGTGCCCACTGATAATTTCAGAGTATCAGAAACTAAGAACTGGCTTCTTTGGGAGCCTTTTAAAAGCACTGCTGTCTTTCCTCCTTTTGCTGTTCTGCCCCTTCATGTTTGCATTAAGATATTTTTGTCCTGTAAAACTCCACTCTATGTGGAGTTTGGCTGCCCCTGAAAAGAGCAATCTTGTGACAGAGTTCTGCTTTCCTTGTCCCACCACTTATGTTTTCCTGACCCTGTGTCAGACTAACAGGAAACTAGAGCTGCAGAGAACCATGTTTAGCTCCCTGACCTTGGTTTCTGTGAGGTCAGATGAGTCATAACATTGGCATGTAGGATGTAGTGGGTTTGAGCGGCCTGAACAGAAGGGAGGTAACCTCTGCTTTGGTTGGAATTAGACTTTTGAGATCTGTTTTGTTCTTTTCAGTGAAATCACAGCTTGGTGTCCCTATTATACTGTATTAAATCAAAGCATTTTGCCTTCAGAGTTGTCTTTATTGACCGTATTTGAAAGCAAGGTTTATTAATGCTTATTTTCATAAAACAATGGCTGATGTATTGGTTTTCTTCCCCCCAGTTCTCTGTTGATGAAACGTAGGGTAGAAAATGTCCTCTGCCTGGAATGCAGTTTTTAATGACTTGCTGAACTGGCCTTAGCTTTCTGGAGGCTGATCACTCTGATTCAAGAGTCAGCTTAGAAGTTTTGTTCTGTTATGTTCAGAGTGTGTATGTATATAGTTGACTTTTGTTTCAAATACAGCATGGTACTGAACAATCTTGTGCTCCATGTATTAGCTGATGCTTGTAAAATTTAGAGAAACTCTCTGGGACCACTAGACTATTTAGCCCTTGTTTTGTTACAGGAACTATAACACTGCAGGAGGACTAGAGCTCTATAGGAAGTTGAAGTAGCAGCAGCCCATAGTGTCAGTTTACATTCCTTACTATGGATTTTCTCCTCTGTGTGCACATGGATGGTAGCAGTTGGTAAAAGTGTGACTATACATTCATTCTGTTGCCTGAGACCTGGTAATGTGTTTGGTTTTTGCAGTGACTGTAGAGAGAAGCTGGTGCATGGGAGATGAACATGAGACAGAGTGCAGTGCCCCTTCAGCCCTTCCTGATCGTGCTGGGAAGACAGGATGCTGGTCCCTGCACTCACCAGTTGGTGTTGTGTTCCTGAGCACTTCCAGATGTGCCTTTGCTTGACTTACAAAGAGCAAATCAGTTCTGGGGGCTGATGGGCAAATACTGGATTGTTGCTCTGCTCACTGTACCTGTACTTGTCGTATGTCTTGGACATTCAGGACTTTCATAAGAGAACTCTTGAACTTGGATGTGGTTCTTTCTGCCATATCTGAAGACCAGCAGTAGGCATACCTTGGGACTTTGAGCCCTGGGTAGCATTAGAAGGTTGTTTCCTAATGTTGTATGGCACGGTGTCAAATCTGAGACGTAACTTTTCACTGTTGCATCTCCTGGCCTTTTGTGGTAATTGCTGAGGCTTGTGTGGAGCCATTGACCCCATTCAGTTGATGAAATTCTCTCGTCCTGTGGCTCTGGTGTATGAGGCTGAGAGCAAGGAAGAAGACTGGGGTTTTTCTGCTCCAATGACAGCCCTCTAACACTGACTTCACACATAGTGGTGCCAAACTTGTGGTGTTTATTGATAGCCACCTGTGGGTGGCTCTTGGTGCCAGGACATCTGATAGTGCACAATGTGGGTGCTTCTAATCAATAGCTGTACATTTTCTGAGAGAACCTGATTGTCTTTAGGCTGCTGTTCATGCAGGACCCTTCTGGACCAAATGCTAAAGCTAAACGTTAATTTGCCTTGGAGTCATAGAATTGTTAGGGTTGGAAAAGACCTCTAAGACTGTCAAGTCCAACCATCAACCTAACACTGCCATGACCACCAAACCATGTCCTGAAGTACCATGTCTAGTTTAGGTTTGGTTTCTCTGTCTTCCTCTTACCCTGCTGCAGTCTTGGTACTTTCACACCCAACTGCACTAAAGCTCTGAAAAGGTTGGGTTACACTTCTCCTGTGCTTAGGGCCTCGGTATGCTCTGGGGTGTCTGTTGCTCATGACACCCAAGCCCTGCTCTGAGTAGCTGCTGACAGGTTTGCTGTGTGCACCTCTCCACAGGGCTCAGTCTGGTGACAGCCCATCTGGTTAGAGAGGCATCTAACTTCTTGGGGGTTCTTGTTCCCTCCCTCACACCTCCTGTAGTGCTTGAGCAGGGAATAAGGTATCCCTGTGATACTCAGGACTTTCTGCTCTAGGGAGTCTAGGATATGATTCTTGAAACTGTGCTAAGGGCTGTGTCTGTGCCTGTCAGCTGCCAAAAGAGGTCTGTCTGCAGGCACTGGGAGGGGGCCGTGGGCTGCCTCTGCTGCCTCCATGTCCTTAGGTAAGTCTGAGCTCTGGTTGAGCTCCTTGACCAACAGCTCTCAGAGACAAAGGTATCACTCCACTCTGGCTGATAAAGGTGGAGGAGAATAGAGGTTTTGGAGTAAATTTTTAAGGTTGTGTGCAGAAACGTGGGGTCCATCTATAAAAGTGCTGTGGCTGTGGCTCGCTCGCCCTGCGAGGGCGCACACGGTGTGGTGCTTACAGCAGCAAGAACAAACTGCTCCCAGGTAGCTGGGGGTTCCTGAGGAATTCCATCTTATCTGTGTCTTTTTCTTTCCATGGTGTCTTCTCTGGAGGACTCTTCCACAGAAATCATGCTGATGAAAAAGAAATCAATGGCTGTGTCCTTACAAGCTTTTAAAGCAAAAGGGAATGAAGATTTTATTGTGCTGCTTTCAGATGCTGAGGGCATTAAGTGGCTCTCTAGCTCATGTGACAGGGTTTCTCTTATTTCACTAGGGCAGTGGACTCCAGTCTAGAAACAGAATTCTTGAGTGTTCTTCTTTTGTGGAAACTATTTAAGTATTCTCTTTGGCTGAAATTGTTTCCTTTTGCATGGAAAACAGCCATGAAATTGCTTATGCAGTTTTGTTGTTAACTGTGTAATTGGAATGCGTCATTACTCCTGGGGTTTTTTCCTGGCTTTTTAATCACATTTAGTGGTGTGTGATATCTTTAAACGTGCATACAAGAATGCCCAGCAGCAGTGGTTACCATAATGAAAAGCACAAATGGTTTGCAGGCAAATTGGCCCAATACTGAAGATGTTACCACCCATCCAGCTTTGCCAGCTTCACCTCGTTCCCTTCGTTGTAATGCTGGCTGTATAAACTACCTCAGAGGGGGCAGCTGAGCTGGAGCAAGGGTGTGGGAATACACTTCATGTAAAGGTG